TCTTCCGCCTTTTCCGTCTCCCCCGCCGCCGCCTCCCCCGCCGCCTCCGGGTCCGCCTCCGCCTCCCCCGCAGCCTCCCCCGCCGAGGCCTGCCCGCCCCTGCACACCGCCCACGCCGGCGGCGTCCACCGCTCAAACGCCACCGGGGACGTCTGCCGGCTCGGCGGCGCGGCCGGCGCATGGCGCGCCACGCCGGCCTCCCTCAGACTCTGAGCCTATCAATGAATAGCGAATCCGTTCATACTCAATTCATGACTCAACACGCCAGCGTCCGTCAGACTCTGAGCCGTGAGGGGCGCCCTGCAGACCGGGCACGGCAGCGGCGCCTGAGAGCAAAAGGTGCGGAGGCTGCAACAGGGACGCCGCGAGAGGTGAGACCTCTGCTTCACTGGCCGAGAGGGGCTGAGAGGGGCTGAGAGGGGCCGAGAGGAGCCGAGAGGGGCCAAGAGGGGCCGAGAGGGGCCGAGAGGGGCCGAGAGGGGCCGAGAGGAGCCGAGAGGGGCCGAGAGGGGCCGAGAGGAGCCGAGAGGGGCCGAGAGGGGCCGAGAGGGGCCGAGAGGGGCCGAGAGGGGCCGAGAGGGGCCGAGAGGAGCCGAGAGGGGCCGAGAGGAGCCGAGAGGGGCCGAGAGGAGCCGAGAGGAGCCGAGAGGGGCCGAGAGGGGCCGAGAGGGGCCGCGATGTGGGCCGGGATCAGGCCGAGAGACGGCCGAGAGACGGCCGAGAGTGGCCCAGACTGATCGAGATATGGCCGAGATTGTCCGAGACGGCAGCGGCGCCTCCTCCTCGATGGCGCTCTGCTGCTCCGCCGCCGCCGCCGCGACCCTCGCCAGCTCCGCCGCATGCCTCTCCGCCCGCGCGCGCCGCTGGGCGAGGGCAGCGCGAGCCGCCTCGGCCGCCTTCGCCTCCTCCTCCACCTTGCGCACCTGCGGTGTGCAGGACACACGTCGCTCATTTCGGCTGTGACCACGGCGGCGCTCTGAGCTCACCGAGCCCGCCCTGCGGACGCGCGCGCCAACGCGGCGGCAGGGGATGTGGCGGGAGGGAGGGTGGAGGCACACACACGGCCTGGGCCAGTCTTCCCAATCTAGAGTTGCGCACTGCGCCGGGCGGCGGCGGCGGGTCGAGCGAGCAGAGCTGCGCAAGGCGGGAGGAGAGCGCCTGCCGACAGACGGACCTCTGGGCTGTCTCTCCGCCGCCTCTCCGCTGCGTCTCTCGACTGCAGCTCCGCCGCGCGAGGCGGGAGGCGAGAGAGAGAGAGAGAGAGAGAGAGAGAGAGAGAGAGAGAGAGAGAGAGAGAGAGAGAGAGAGAGAGAGAGAGAGAGAGAGAGAGCGAGAGAGAGAGAGAGAGAGAGAGCGAGCGAGCGAGCGAGAGAGAGAGAGAGAGAGAGAGAGAGAGAGAGAGAGAGAGAGAGAGAGAGAGAGAGAGAGAGAGAGAGAGAGAGAGAGAGAGAGAGAGAGAGAGAGGCGAGCGCCTCAGCGGCGGCGGCGGCGGCGGCGAGCTTCGCGCTCAGCTGCCGCGCGTCCGCCTCCGCAGCGCGCGCAGCCGACGCGTGCCGCTGCGCCGCCGACGGCAGGGCGGCGGCGTCCGCCTGTCCGCAGCTAGATGCGTGAGCAGGCAGGATGCAGCCGAGAGGCAGCCGAGAGGCAGCCGAGAGGCGGCCGAGAGGCGGCCGAGAGGCGGCCGAGAGGCGGCCGAGAGGCGGCCGAGAGGCAGCCGAGAGGTAGCCGAGAGACAGCCGGGAGGTAGCCGGGAGGCAGCCGAGAGACAGCCGAGAGGCAGCCGAGAGGCAGCCAAGAGGCAGCCGAGGTGCAGCCGGGAGGCAGCCGGGAGGCAGCCGAGGTGCAGCTGAGAGGCAGCCGAGAGGCAGCTAAAGTGCGGGCGGCGGCCTCCGCCTTTGGCGCCGGCGCGGCGAGCCACCAGGCGCCGAGACAGACGCCTACTCGTGGCCTCTGCTCTGAGCATGCCACCTCAGCCGCCAGGCAGCTCGGCTCGCCGACAACAGAGAGGACAGTGGAAGGAGTGGAAGCAGGCAGAGACGTAGGTCGGCGGCGGCGGCGCCGCGCCACGCGGAAACAGGTCGTCGCGGCAGATTGGGCAGTCTCCCCCGGCGTTCAGCTCGGTGAGCTTCTCGATCGCCGCCTCGACAAGCGCATACACACACGGCTCGCCGCTCGACGCCGCCTCCGCGGCGAGCGCGGTGAGAGCGGCGAGGAGCGCTGCCTCTTCGTCGCCGACCATGCCGCGGGAGCGCGAGAGGCGACACACCGCCGCGGACTCGGGGTACGCCTGCGATAGCTCAAGCGCAAGCGTCGCCTCCATGAGCCTCCTCCGCTGCTCGCCGCCGCTTGACGGGCGCAAGCGGACGGAGATCGTCGCGCCGCCACCCGTCGGCCGCTCGACGACAAGCTCGTCCTCGTCGCTGCTGAACATCGCGCCGAGCAGCTCGAGCTCGTCCTCCATCGTGCGTGCCTCGCACTCGGCGTGGGGGAAGGGACCAGAACGGACAGTCGTGGTGAGGGCAGGCCCTGGAAAACGTGGTGTGGGCTGGCGAGGGAGGGCGCTTGGCCGAATTTAGGGGGCACCCCGCAAAGTGACCCGTTTTTACCATGTGGGTCGAGACACCCCGCACAACGAGCCGGGATGGGGGGCGGGCTTCTGTGGCGTGACATGCCGCGGAGAGCAGGACCTGCAACCAGGCCGCTCGGGGAAGGTTGACCGGCTTGTCACCCGAAGCGCCAGCGGCTGGACCACCTGCCTGGACCTTGAGAACGGTGTGATGGCTATCCCGGCGAAGGGGGGGCCCGGAGCGAGGGAGGTGTGCGTCGATGGGAGAGAGGTCGACATCTCGATGCCCCCGGAAGAATGGCGGGATCCCCTCGAGTTTGTGGTGCGGAAGACCGTTCGGGTGGCTCGACAGCTCACGGCGATGCAACCCCGTAAGCGGCGGGCGGTTGGGGCGCGGTTGCGGAAATGGGCGGGGACGTCGGTCGATGAGATACTCGAGGCGACCATGTCCGTGGCGCGAGAGCGACCCCACGAGCAGGCTCGCGGCGCCGGAGCAGCGATGGGCCGGGAGAGGGTGACGAGGAGAACGACGGAGGCCCCGGCGCCGCGGACGGAAGACGCCGTCTCTACCCTCCTATCGGCGGCGGCGTTTGCGGTGGCGAGACACCTACAGACACTCGGGGGGGGGGAGGGGGCGACCAGCCTCGAGATAGACTGCCCGAGAGCGCCGACCGTCTGCCCGTGCGTCAACGGTGGCCAGTGTACGCTCGGAAGGGCCGGAACCGTCCTCGGGGATCACTATACGGACGCGGTGGCGGGGCTGGAAGGCCCCGTAGCCGATGGGTGGGCGGGGGTTCGGAGGCTTCCTGGTGAGCTGGATTACGCCTGCATATGCGGAGAGACCTTCCCCACCCGCCTCCGGCGCGATATCCACGTTCGGGCGGCGAACACGGCGCGGCTTCACTGCGCTGGAAGGGCGACTGGCGCCGACAGGTGCCGACAACCCTCCACTGTGCGTGAGGCCGTACACGGGTTGCTTGCTGTGCTGCTGACTCTGGGGAAGCTCGGAGCGGCAGCGACGGCGCTCACCGCCGGTCAGCCCGCCGCAATCGTAGCGGCTGCGCCCGCTCGATTGCGGTTTGTCGCGCCGACCTCGCCGCGAGGCGAGGTAACGGGTCCAGCATGTGCCAATCGCACATTCTGTGCGGTTCCACGTGCACTCATGGCGGCGACGACACGCGGGGGGCTGGGCGTGAGCCGCAGCTCCCCCGGGCCAACGGGGGCCTATCCCGGTCACAGCCAGCAGGGGCATACAATTCCTGTACCCAGAGTTACTTCACCGAGAGTAGCGAGATGCAATCTCGCAGAGCAGCTGCTGATGGCAGCCGGGCCACTGCTGTGGCTCTTCGGCTCTATGGCTCTCCTTGACTCCGTGGTTCGGCGACTGCCCTTCACACCGCAGCCTGCGGCCGCCATCCCAGTAGGCATCCCCGAGTCAGCCTCTGCATGGCCGCCCTCCTCTCACCACGCCTCTGCGCGCTTACACTCCATCCACCAATGCCCGGTGCACACACGGTGATTCACACCCTCTCACGAAAAACCGCGCTCCTGCTGCCACGGATAGCTCGCAGGAGGCGCATCAGCGCTCTCAAACGCGCCCGCAGGCACGCCCGCAGGCGCGTCAACAATGTCCCTCCCAGTTGACCCCCGGTCCTCGTAGTCCATTAAATAAACTCAAAGTCCACCACAGCCACCAGCCTCCACCTCCACCGTCGAGCCGCGATCGCTGCCGCCCGCGACGCCGCCCGCCGCGTCAGATAGCCGCGACGCGCGCACCGAGTCGAATCGGAGAGCCGCGCCGCACCAGCAGGAGCATCTGCACCACCACCAGCAGCAGCAGCACCACCACCACCACCCGAGAGAGAAGCGCACCTGCCCGACGCCGCCCGCCGCGTCAGACGCTCGCGACGCGCGCGTCGAGCCCAGTCGCACACACACACACACACACACAAAAACACACACACCGGTGCACAATTTTTTATTTCATCGTCAAAAAGCGATCGTACTTTGCCTGTTCCCCCACCTCATAATGGTGGAAACACAGCTCGCAGCCATCTTTCTCGACGTTGACGGCGTCATCGACAGTCGGCGCATCGGAATGCTCGACGTCAAAAAAGTCGAGCGCCTCCGCCTCGCGGCCGCCGCAGTCCCCGGCTGTGTCGTCGTCATCTCCTCGCACTGGCGGCTCGTGCCGAAGCAGTATGCGTCGCTGGTGGCCGCACTGAGCTGGTACGGACTGCACGTGATCGGCATGACGCCCTGCCCGTTTCCGCCGTGGCTCACCAAGCGGCCGGTGGAGATCTTACTGTGGCTGCGCGCGTACAATCTGGCGTGCTCGGCCAACGGCACGCCGCAGATTGGCGCTTTTGTGGCCATTGACGACCGCGATCTGCTCGGAGAGGATGGCGGCGACGAGCTACGCGGCCGATTCGTCAAGACATCCCTCCTCGCTGGGCTGGTTGACGCCGACGTGCCGCGAGTCGTCGAGGCCCTTAGCCCCGCCTCCCCAAACCTTCCGCCCGTGCCGGGCCTTGAGGCGGCCCCGCCGCCGCCGAGCGTCGCGCTGCCATTCACGGTGGCGCTGAGCCGGCCGGCTGGCTCAAAGGGCACCGGCTACACGTGCACGGTGCAGCGCACCGTTGACGCGGCGCCCACGCCAGATGCTTGAAGTAACACAGCCCCCCCCAAGACTTTCGAGATGACACGTATCAGCACCGTATTCGCCGTATTCAGCTTGCATGAACACACGACACCATATACAACATGTGTTTTAATGCCGTAGGCCCCCAAGACGCGGCCCACGATACTCGTCGACGACGCGGCGGAGGAGGGGCAACCTCTCTCCAACGAGCGGTGGCTCTCGCTATGGCGCCACCGGCAGACGATTATTCGCAACACCGCCACCCGCCTTTCGGCGTCGCGTTCGCGCCCCTCCTGTGACGGTGGCGGCGGGGGCGACGGCGGCAGCCACGAGGCGACCGCCATGAGCAGCGCGCTGCAGGTGGAGGTACTGCCAGAGGTCCTCGGCCGCGGTGGATTCGGCGTCGTGCGCCGTGGGCGGCTTCAGCGGGCGGCCGCGGGCTCGGGCGGCGCCGGAGCCGGAGCAGTCGACGTGGCAGTGAAGGAGGTCGACCTGGCGGCGCTGATGGCGCGCGACGCAACCTCGGAGGAGACGCTGCTGCGCGAGGTGGCGCCTTGCGTACACACACACACACACACACACGCACACACACACGCACACACACACACACACCGCTCCGACGGCACGAGGCTTTGGCACTCTCTGTGTGGCGACGACCCTACCGTACCTAAGAACCTCGCCTCAAGGTGCGTCTGATGGAGGGGCTGCGCCATGAGGGCGTGCTGCGGCTGTACGGCTGGCGGCGCGAGGGCGGCGTGTGGCCGTCATACTACCTCGAGCCGCCTTAATAGTTGATCTGTGGATTCATCTGTCATGAATCCAACACCAGGCGTGGTCTTCCTCTACCTCGAGCTCTGCCGCGGGCCGGAGCTGCAGCAGCTGATCGACGCGCGCGGCGCGCTGGCGGAAGGAGAGGCGCGGCTCTTGGCGCGGCAGATGATCGGTAAGGGACACTTCCGAGACACCTCCACTCTCTCGGGGACACTTCTGAGACACCTCCACTCTCTCCGCTAGCGGCACTCCTCTACCTCCACTCCCGGGGCATCATCCACCGCGACGTCAAGGCGGCGAACGCGATGCTCGATCGCCCACTGGACGACCTCAAGCAAACGCCGCTCGACGGGTGTGTCGTCAAGCTCCTCGACTTTGGTCTTGCGCGCCAGCTGCCGCTGCAGCAGCGGCAGCCAAGCCGCCGCCGCTCGCTCCGGCGCGACGCCCACGCTCTTCTCTGCAGCCGGGAACACGTCTTCTTACCTCCACAGCTGCGAGCAGGCGCCGCTCGTCGGCGCGGACGAGCGTCATACACACCTTCCAACCCGGGGACGCGTTCGCGAGCGTCGTGTTCGCCGCCGCTTCGCCCGCGCACGGCACGTCGCCCGCCGACGCGGATGGGTCCGCCTTGAACTTAAAGGCCTCAGCGTCGGCCTCGGCCTCGGCCTCCAAGGCTTCGGGAAAAGAAGCAGCGCCGCCGGTGCTCCCCTTCACGAGGTGCAGGCGTTGCACGAGATAACCCGAGGCCACACCCGAGATTGCCCGAGATTAGGTGGTGCTGCACGACCACGAGTTGCCGGCGCTCCACGAGATGTCGCTGGTGGGCACGCGCGGCTACGCGCCGCCGGAGGTCGTGCATTAGCAGCGGTCGTAACATCAGTAAAGCTCTACGCCCAACGTCAAGCGAAGGGACTGGGCTAGTTCTAATCCACACGGGACTGGCCGCATGTCGGCTGCCTGCCACCTAGGTCGCCAACCTGGCGCCGGGCAAGACGTCGGCGCAAATGAGCTTCGAGGAGGCGACGCCGATAGTGATTAGTGGTGGGCAGCCTCAGTTCAAACGATCGCGGCACGCCGCACACCACTGCACACCACCGCACACCGCACGGATACCCACAAGCAATGGCACGAGAGACTGACGAGAGACGTGGCCTAGCTGTACTCCAGGCGACGCTGATCGACGCGTACGCGATGGGCAAGCTGCTGCGTTACCTGCTCACCGGCGTGCCCGCCGAGAAGAGCGTGATGGAGGTGCTCGAGGCACAGGGCGCACTCGCCGGCTGCTGCGGCGGCGGCGGCGGCGGCGGCAGGGTCGTCGAGCCAGAGCATTTGAGCGCGGGAGCGCGGGCGCTGGTGGAGGGTCTGACTGAGGCGCGCGCAGAGAGGCGGGTAGCGCTGGCGACTGCGGAGCTCGACGCGTGGCTGGTGGCGGAGTGAGGTCGCGGTGGTCGCTGGCGAGGTATCCCCTCGCTTCGGGGGGCGAGGATGAACCGACGAGATGGACTGCTGTCCTGTCCTGATGCCCGGTGAGAGCTCGGTCGGAGTGGGAGAGTGAACTCTGTCCACAGCTGCCCGGTGTACAATATCATGCCATGTGGGAGCTGGGAGGCGTGTGCATGTGCAGATGGAGAGAGGAGTCCTGCGCACCCAGTGGCATGAGAGGCTTTCCATTCGCCTCGCAGTCCAAGATGGCGGCCCTCGCGTGCTCTGTTTTGTCGCTTGGGTCACGTCTGCTTATCCGTGTCTCTGTCTTAGTCGTCGCCGCGCGAGGCTGGGTGCGTTTGCTTGGTTTGTGTCTCCCCGTGAGCCTGGGGTGGTTGGTTGGGTGGGGCGTGGCCGTGGGGGGAGGGGGGTTCGGTCGGTCGGTGTGTGGGTTCCTCGCCTCACTCATATCAGCCAGGCCTGGGGTGGAGGGAGGGTGGGTGGGTCCAAGCCTCAGCCGGACCGTGAGGTGGGTAAGGGTTGCTCAAGAAGCTCGTGCGCGTGAACGGACGTGTAGCACCCACCCGGCACCGACGAGGGGTTACGCCCCCTGGGTGATATGCTCTCGCTCCTGCCGGCTGTCGCCAGCGGCGCCTCGTACACCTCCACGCTCATAGGCACGTCGTCGCGCGTCCGGCTCGACATCGGGCTCGAGCGAGGGTCGTGGATGCCGAAGAACATCAAAGGCTGGGGTGGGTCGGGCGCGAGGGTGGTTGTGTCGGCGCTGGTGGACTTCGAGGCCGAGCCCGCAAATGAGGCAGAGGAGCTCGTGGGACCACGCAGTCAGACGCGCGTGCTAAACGCGAGAGGTGGCGGCAAGATAGTGACGTTTGACGGCGAGCAGGCGGTCGACTTCACATCAGGCGGGTGGTGCGTGCAGCGGCCGCTTGGCGCGCAAGCAGGCTCGGACGAGGGCGGCTCGAGCTCGGGCGAAACGAGGAGCGACGTCCATTTCTGGTACCTCGAGCCCAGTGCGCACTGTGGGAACGTGATCATGCGAGTGCCGGTCCGCTGGACGAGCTCGACCACCTCGGGGACGAGCCACAGCGGCGCGTGCGACGCGAACTTCGCCTGATACAGCGGCCCGTCGCCTCTGTCTGGCGGATTCTCGATGATGAAGGTCGCGCCAGCGTCGGCGAGGGCTTGCGCAATCAGCACGGTACGTCTCACGAGCAAATTGGCGACGGCGAGCTTGTACACACAAATACGCTTGTATCCAGCCTGAGTCCAAATACACAAAATACAGACTTAGCATCTAGGGCTCCTGCTGTGTGGATCTACTCTCACTCGCTGGGGTCTCCTCTTGATAGTGTCATAAGTGTGGCTGGTGTGTGTCAGAGGATGAGAGCACCCCGACAGCACCACCTGACAGCACCTGACAGCCCGGCCCTAGCTACGTCTGACAGCAGCAGCAGCCGCCTGACAGCTTTGACAGGCGCAGCTCCGACAGCATCTTACAAAGCAACACCTGACAGCTCCGACAGCACCAGATCCCCGACAAGCATACAGCAGCACCCGACAGCACTGACAGCACCTGACAGCTGTCTGTCAGAGGCACCTGACAGTGCCTGACAGTGCCCGACAGCCTGACAGATCACCTGACAGTACCTGACAGCCTGACAGCCAGGGCTCAGTCGCCACGTGGAAGTCTATCGAGCTCCCTGCTTGCCCCTGACAACCCACCCCTGTTGCGCATGGTGGTAGCACACCCACGCCCCTTTCGAGACTACGACCTGAACGTATTCAACTTTTAGCATTACAAATCCAGTCAGTTTGTGCTGTGAAATCGAGCGAGATCGGGCGACTCATATACCGTGAGGAAAATTTGCAGCAAACCCTGTTGGAGGAGATAATTGTATGATGGAAGTGAGAGGGTCTGACAGCCTGACAGCAAACCTGGACAGCGCCTGACAGTGCCCGACAGCCCGACAGCTCTCACAGGGCAGGGGCGGCTCAGGATCACAGACACCCCTAGGTAGGTAGGTAGAAAGGTGAAGAACAGCCAGGCTCGGACTGGACACCAACGCGGTATGGGTGGACGCTGGACAGATGATGACGACACGCACGAGCGACACACAGACACAAACAAGCTCACAAGACACACAGCCAGCTGGCTGCCACACACCCTGAGTCGGCGTACACATAACTCAGGGCCACATCCTCCCTGTCGCCCCCCCCAGCACTCCACGGTGCCAAGGGCACAACCCCTCTCAGGATCCACCCACCTCACCCCTAGCGACAAGGAGCCCGAACCCTTGCCACAACGAAATGCTGGTGCTCGCCGCGCTCTTGGCCGTCTCTCCGAACACAAAAGCCTCTGTCGACCTCTTGGCTGCCGCTGAGCCTTTCGCGAAGAATTGGCAGCGCTGTGTCGGCTCAGGCCACATGCTCTTGGGCACGCGAGCCGACTGGCAATCACAGCTCGCGCTGGCGGTGAACGAGCTCGGCTTCGGCGCTATCCGCGGCCATGGCCTGCTCGACGACGATATGGGAGTCCTGCCCGCTAAAGGCCGCCTCGAGTTTTACAACGTCGACCAGGCGCGCACACGCACACGCACACACGCACGCACACATGCGAGCGACCGTGCAGCCAACGGTGCTAGGTCTTCGACGCCGTGCACGCCCTCCGCCTCCGCCCCGTCGTCGAGCTCTCCTTCACGCCCGCTGCCCTTGTTGCCTGCGGCAAAGCTGGCGAGCAGCCGTGCGACTACGCGTTCGGCAAACGATTAGGAGACTGCACTGAGACAGAGGAGGCACCGTCCGTGCGAACACACCGCTCACCACGCCACGCCACACCGACGAGCCGACACAGCTCTCCACAACCACGTCTTCGGCTCCTCCTTAGGCGGCAGCGGCGCCTACAAGGGCCTCGCCATGCCGCCCGACTCGTTTGCCGAGTGGGAGGGCCTCGTCGCTTCCGTCGCGGAGCACCTCGTTGGTCGGTACGGCCTCGACGCGGTGAGCGAGTGGCACTTTGAGGTTTGGAACGAGTTGTGGGGCGTCCCGTTCCCCGAGCCGTACATGCGGCTGTACAACGCCAGCGCGCGTGGCCTCAAGTCCGTCTCTCCGCGGCTGAGAGTCGGAGGGCCGGCGACGATGGCGCTGGAGGAGGTGGAGCCGTTCGTCGCCGCCTGCCGCGCGAGTTCAACGCCAGTGGACTTCGTGAGCAGCCACCTGTACCCCACCTCCCCCATCTGCGACACCAACGCGACGGCGCGCGACCCGGACTGCTTCGCGCACAAGGCGCTCTCGGCGGCACCTCGGCGGCATCTCGGCTGCACCTCGGCTTCACCTCGGCGGCACCTCGGCGGCATCTCGGCGGCATCTCGGCTGAGTCTCGCCGGCTGCTCCGCGCACAAGGTGCTCTCCGCGAGCGACGCTGTCCACAAGGCTGGCCTCCCTTTCTTCCTCACCGAGTACAACAACGGCCTCGGCGACTCCTCGCGAGACGACGCCTCCGCTGCCGCCTTTGTCGTCCGCAACGTCGGCCTGCTCGCTTCCGTCGACCTCGTCTCGTGGTGGAGCTTCTCAGACATTTTCGAGGAGGCGTGGATGGCATCGGCACCCTTCCACAACGGCTACGGGCTGATGACCGTACATGGCATTCGCAAGCCAGCTTGGCGCGCGTTTGAGATGCTCGCTTCCCTCGGTGACTACCGCCTGCCCGTGTCCGGAAACGTCTCGCCCGCAGATGGCTCCTCGACCGTCTCGCTGCTGGCGACGCGTCCGCAGGGCAGCGGCGGAGGCGCGCTCAAGGGGCCGCTCGGCGGGAGCCGGCGCCTATGGGACGCAGCGGGCCAGAGCCAGGGGCACGTGGTCCTCCTCCTCTCCAACTTCCACCGCAACCGCTCCGCTTGCACTGCGCAAAACGTCAGCCTCGCCGTCATCCACCGGAGCGACGCAACCCTCCCGCCCACCGCCCGCGCGTTCCGCGTCGACGAGGCGCACGCCAACCCCCTCGCGGAGTGGCACCGACAGGGGCAGCCCATCTACCCCGACAGCTCGCAGCTGTCGAAGCTGCACGACGCGTCGCGAGTGCGCTTGGCGGAGGCGGTGCCGCTCCATCGCCTCAGCCCCACGCAGAGCGTGATGCACTTTACGATGCCGCCGTTTTCGGTGCTGAAGCTAGAGCTGTGAGTGGTGTGTCACTGTGATCTGTGTGTGACTCCAGCGCATACACGGCATATACACAATACAGGATAACCTGATTCGGTTTCGTCGCACAGCATAGGTTTCATTTTCATAGTCGGCCGTCCTAGGACGTACGTCATTTCAGGTCCCGATTTCGGTTCTCGTAGTGTATCTCCGCGCAATGGGAGTTAGCGCGCTCGCTCGCAGAGCGGCTCTGCCAGGGGCCCCTCCACTCGCCTGCACCTGCTCGAACCCTGAGCACTGTGCGGCGTTGCACGCTCGAGGTCGTGCATGATGTAGTAATCATTGTCTTGAGTAATGCGCTTCTCTCGACCGAGAGCGCTAGCCTCTACCCCTTCGGTCCGTCGAATCTCGGCGCGGCAGATGCGACGCCGAGACTGACGAAACCTCCCTGTGGTGGGCTGCTGAGCCTCCCCCACACACGAGAACACCACTGGGACACCCATGACACACTAGAACAGGTATGCCACGAGGCGGGATGAGACTAGACGTCTCGGACGAGACTCGTCACTCGACGGAAACCTAAATCGTGAACATCGGGTTGCTGCGCGGCGGGTCAACCCCATTATGCGCAGTCATCCAGATGTCAACTGCACCTCAGACAGTCGCCGGCGTGGGCGGGAGGGGCGACTGTATCTGAAGGCGCGGTAGCGGTAGACGGGCAAGCCACAGCTGGCAAGATGCCGATCGCCATTGACCTTGCTCGAGCCGCGGCGAGCCCTGAAAGTGGAGCGTGTCAGGATCGATTGCTCGGCTGTGAACTGACCTCGCTGTGAATGTGACCGCCGTCACAGACACTATTGTCCATGAATGGTAGACTGAGAGTAGAGTAGAATCGGGTCGAGCGACCGGCCCAGTCGACCGTCCCCTCCCCTCAGCAGAGCGGGCGAGAATCCTAAAGGATTCACGCCTCCTCTGCCAGGGGCCCCTCCACTCGCCTGCACCTGCTCGAACCCTGAGCACTGTGCGGCGTTGCACGCTCGAGGTCGTGCATGATGTAGTAATCATTGTCTTGAGTAATGCGCTTCTCTCGACCGAGAGCGCTAGCCTCTACCCCTTCGGTCCGTCGAATCTCGGCGCGGCAGATGCGACGCCGAGACTGACGAAACCTCCCTGTGGTGGGCTGCTGAGCCTCCCCACGCTCGACCTTTGAGGTAGTATGATGGAAGGTCGATGCCCGGAACGGCCTAAGCTCAGCTGAACCCCACGCATAGACCTCCTCGAATCACCTCAAAGGTAAGGGATGGCAACTGGCGGTTGAGTCGCTGACGTCGCACGACCATGCGCCCGAGAGACCGATCGTGATTATCGACCGATCTCGCAACTATCCCAGCGAGTAGTCCGGTGCTCCGGTAAAACCCCCCCGCCCCCGCCGTAGCGATGACGATGAGGAAATAGCACCCGACGCGAGTCGGGCCTACACTCGCTTGGGTGGCAAGCACGCCACAGTTGCACTCATCAACAGTGTCAAACACCGTTGCCACTGTCGACTTAAACGATAGCAGCTGCCGACCTGATTGCTGCTTCGTCGTGACCCAAATTTTAACTGAGCGAGTTGATGATCCTGCCCATACGGTCTGCTGCTTCGACGTCGAAGAGCATTACTCCGACCGTGTCGTCAATCGACCATTGTTGCCCCATCGACGACATCGGCCGAAATCATGCGTCGCGCAAGGCAATTGAAAGATCGACCACGAGTGGATCGATCAACCTGCCCATCTTAGGGAGGAAGTTCGAGCGCGACCGCCGCGGAGCCAGGGCAGCGCCGGCCGGGGCTGGGACCGTGAGCGGCGATCGCGCTCCGAGTCGCCCAGCGACGGCAAGGCAGGACGACGAGGCGCGACGGCCGTTGAGCGGAGGCTGGCGAGCAAAAAGAGGCGCCTGCGTGCGCCTCATTTTGAGTAACTTGACAGGGACGTCTAAGCGCCATGCTGTGTGACGAAACCGCTTCGTATTGGGAGATTTCACGATCAGTTCCGGTATACCCCCGAGCAGGTATCCCTAGGGTCAGTTTTGCTGCGGGGAGCGAACCTTAACGACCGCCCAGAAGCTTTCTGAGCGAACCAATCGGGCCGGGATCATCAACATATGTCCCCTCCACAACATCGTGGGCGTTTGAGCCGTATTTGAGGAGCACCGCGACTCTGAAGTTCGGCCGGGTGGTCTGCAGACCCCCCCGCCCCCAATAGCAGAGGCTCCGTGGGGTCGAAAAGTCGACGCTGGGAGTCGCACTCGTCAAGCCATCGCAGCACCACGCGGTCCGCACGTACCGCCCACATCCCCTCCACCGCTGAGAAGGCGCAGATCGACCGCCGGGCCGCGTAGTCGTCGTTAAGGAGCGGTTTTTGGAGCCGTACGAAGACTCGAAGAGGTCCCACACTGGTCAAACTATTAGCCTCATAATGAGGAAAAGGCTAATAGCGATTTCAAATAGTGCTACTATTAGCTCAGAGGGGCTAATAGTGCAATTATTAGGTGTGCTAATAGCCGATGTCCTAATAATGGACCCTCATAATGCGCACTTAGCGATTTCGCGATTCATGCCGCATGCTTCACGGCGCGCCCCGGCCTAATAGCTGGGCCTCATAGCGACATGCCGGCCACGGAGCTCGTCGCGCCCATGCCGCCATCGGCGCCCGCTGACCATCTGGCGTGCAGCGAGAAACCCTCTGCGAGCTGGCGCCAGCGTGTTGGTTTGGCGGCGTGCGGCGCAGCGCTGGTCTTCTTGGCGTCCATCCACGGTGATCGCGGATCCGGCGAGAAGCCTTGCGCTGCCATCGGTCAAGGCGCAGCTGGACGAGACGATGCGAGAGGAAGGCCGGCGGCTTTTCGAAGCGCAGCACGACCTGCGGCGCCCGGCGCGCTGATGCCGACCACTGCAGGGTTTGTTGTCGGTTGTGTTTTTCTTGTTTGACTTGGCGATTTGAGAGTCGCGCACAGGACCTGGCCAGTGTGCTCCTCGCTCGCTCCCCGCTCGCCTCGGTGACCTGTCGCCCACCAGCGCGCGGCGACCGCACGCACACCACCAGCGCGCGGCGACCGCGGCACACCGCGCCCGCCGGCTCTCCGCCCTCCTCACCACCCGTCGGCGCTGTCCGCAGGCATGTGAGGCGGAACGGCGACCGCACAGCGCGCGCGGGTGTGGAGAACGTGATCAACCGCCGGGCTTCGGCCCCTCGCCGGCGCAGCGCCGGCGAGGTCCTGGGTCATCCCCGGGCGGCGGTCCGGGCGGCAGCAGATCTCTGCGCCGCCCGCATCCTGTTCGTGATCAGGGCGTGCGCAGTTTGAAATTGCAAGGTCCGAGCGCGCGCCCGCGCCCGCCGCGCCCCGCACGCAGCCACATCCTGCGTTCTGCGGCGGCAGCGGCCTTATCTCTCTCTCTCCCTGCTCTCCCAAGCCGTGCGCACCGTCGCCGCGCGCGCGCGCCGCCGCAAGCTGCCGGGCTGACGCTCGTCCCCGTGCCCCTGTTGCGCAGGCAACACCCGCGCTCGTGCGGACCGCACGACCAGCTTCCTGCTCGCGCCGCCCTCGCTGTGGCCCGGCGTCTCCGCCGGCGGCTGGTGCGTCAAGGTGATGAAGAGCACCACCAAGCCTGACGTCACCACGCGGTCAAGTTCAACGACTCCACGGTGACCTTCTCGTTCGCCGTGGTTGCCTCATGGAAGCCCGTCTCCTAGAGAGTCGGCGCCATCGCTCTTGCCGCGCCGCGCGTAGTGCGCGTCGCGCGGGTACCGCACTATTAGGGCACTATTAGGGCCACTATTAGGCTCTCATAGTGCCCTAATAGCGCCCTAATAGTCGCTATTAGCCCTCTCATAGTGGTGTTCTAATAGCTCCAGACGTTATGAAGCTCAGCTACAGGTCCTGGCTTCGGTTTCGCAACAGCTTCGTTTTCACAACACGGCCGCCTCGCGACGCCGCGCCGTCGTGCAGATCGTGTCCGAGCCATCCACAAGGCCGCCGGCACATGTGCCAATGTGTGCCCGGAGCGCAGGGAGTCGATGGGTGCCGCAGTCCAAGCGATCACTGCACTGCAGTGCTCGCTCGCACTGCGGCGCTGCGCCACGGCGGCGAAGCATGTCTGGACTTCAAGGACAGTGCTTCTCCGCTGCTCGAGGATTGCGGCAAGGTCCAGGCCGACCACACAGAGCACCCGAGGCAGCTGGCGTGGCCTCACTCATGACCTGTGCTACCCGTCGGCGGGGCCAGCTGCGGTTTCACAACGCGCCTCATTTTTGGCACCCTCCTGCTAGCCGCGCATGAGTAGGGAGACCGTGTGTGGTGTCTTCGCGGCCTAGAGCACCCTCTTGGCAGTCTATATTCCGGATTTTAGCCCTCCTGTCGCATCTGGTGAGCCGTACCATAGCGAGGACCAAACGTGTTGTGAAACCAAAGCCAGGACCTGTATCACTAAGAAAAGTGACGTAGAGCACCCACTTTTTAAGCGTTCGCCGCATACACAAGGTCCGCCTGCGTGCGGCGCCAGCTTCTCAGGGCCATCGCGCGAAAAACGACGGAGGAGATGCATCCTAGCTGTCGCCACCGAAGGCGACTCGACGTCGCTGAGATCGGAGATCAAGCTCTGACAGGTCACACGTCGCTCCTTTGACGCCGACGTGGCTCACCCGTGCAGAGCGCATCAGGACACAGTCTCGACGCGCTCGGTACGACGCCTGCGACCCGTCTCGGGTCAGGTGGCACGACGCTCATCGCGCCTGCCAGCGCTGCCGTGCAGGCTGCCACGACGAGGTCGAGCACGCTTCTATACGCTCGCCGAGCCTTCCTTTCCATCCCATTAGGCAGCCTGGGAACGGTGGCGGTGAGAGGCAAAGCCTGCGAGGGGTGGTGGAACCACATGTCACGGCTACCGCCGGCTCGACCCCACGATAGCCTCCGGAGGCTGACTTTGAGGCACCATCATCGGACGATGTCGACGAGTTGGGTCGCTCTCGCGGTAGCCAGGTAGCCCCCCATACTAGTAGCACCAGCCATGGCCTCAGGGAGCGCGGGCGAGGGCGCTGGGAGCAACACGGACAAAAAAACATCAAAAGTGGTCATTATCACAGCACCCGTATTTGCAACTAGTCCACGAGTGACGAGAGGACAATCGACAGGATCAACCTCAAACGGATCATCAAAACCGCGAGCTTGCGTCGGCGGAGCCACGGCGGTCTTACTCTTCGCGTACTCCTCTTTCTTCTTCAGCATGTATTTCTCATGTGGCTTCCCGCAGGCGGGAGGCTGCAGGGGCGCCATCTTGACGGCTGGTGGTTGCGCGGGTGGCACTAGGAGCAAGTTCGCAACTCTGCGGTGGTTTCCTTGCGCTTTCTTTTTCTTTTTCTCTTGTTCCGCCGCGTGTAACAATCCCGCGTGTTCCGTGTTAGCAAAAAAATGACGGCAAAAAGTAATAACTGAGCGTGTCCTCCACGTGGAGACGCACATGTCCAGATTACGGCTTTGTATCTACGGCTGGGTGTGGCTGTTGGGGGTTCGTTCCTGTGTGTCACGCGTGATGTGAGAGATTTTTTGATCAGGTATACAGGGGGTTCGGGTGTGAAAAAGTCGTACGAGACCGATACCGACCAAACAAGCCCCCCCCCCCCCCCCCC